TATATTTAACATTTTTCTCCAAAAAACGTGAAAATTATGGAATGTAAAAAGAGAAATCCAAAATCCGCTCTGTAAAAACACGCAAGTCTAAAATGTAAATTTAAAATTTAGAACTGATGTTCAGATTTCTTTGTTGTATTTTGTATTTTTTGCAAAATAGTACATATTTAATTAAATAATACCATTTGCATGTTTATCATAACATTTCAGAAACTTGTAATGCAAAACAATTGCCTGTACTGTGAATAATCAACTGGGGAATGTATGGTGATATCTGAGGAATTTTTACCCTATTTACCTGCGGAGCCTTAATTATTTTTCTCATTCAACTTGTGAAATATGTCACATCAGTTAAATAAAAAGTGATTGTTTTTAGCTGCTTTTTTGTTGAATAACAAAACATTTTGTATGTATGAGGTATTATATTATAGCATATACCGTTTATATATGCTATATAACATTTATTATTCTCTCCTAGTATATGCCATCGTTACGATGAGATTACGGACAGAATCACAAGCAAGCTGAGTACCACAGAGGAGCTGGTAGAGTTAAACCAGTACCTGAGACACACAAGTGAAGTCACCGTACACAAACTCCGCCATGAGATTGAGGAAGCTGTCAAGAGACTCGACTTCCTGCTCGACTACGCCACTCTTCCAGGTACAAACATTCTTTGCGTAATGTGTGCATGCAAATACTGTGTCTATGGCAACACCATACTACTCAAATACACTACAAATACTAATATTTCAAATATTCTAATCATGTGGTTTTCAGTCACAGTCCCTCAGTCTAGATTTGGGGCTGTCTGGGATTTGTGGGAACACTTTTTCTTTAAAACCCCCTTAAAATCTTTCTCTCTTCACAGAGGAGGATATGAAGTTGTTCAGCACTTTGATCCACTGGCCTGAACAGATTCTGTCTTTAATTGAAGTCAGTAAGGATAAACTGAACAATCAGAAAGATCAGGCTGAGATCGATCTGATGAAAAGGTGCTTAAACACATACACACACACACATCAAATGCAACATATGCGGCTTAAACAAATCTGATGGCTATCACATGTTTCGTCCTCAGAATAGGGAAGTTGGAAGAGACAATGAAGGGCCTGGAAAAAGAGGTGGACATCTTTAAGATGAAAGAAAAGATGACTTTGGAGGAGAGCAAGATCAATGTGGAGAAACTCAATAAGATCAGCGTCAGCCTGGAGGCCGCTGTCAAAGAGATAGAGGTTTGTGCTTGAAATTGTTTATTAAATAAAC